GAGCGATATTCTACAAGTAGTCAAGAAACGTTGTACCACGGACGAGTTCAACCACAGCGACAAAGCCAATTCCGCCCACCAGAATACACAGTGACAGATCTTCAAGCAGAAATGCACCGTGGCCATGAGCGGCCTATGCGAGGCAGCCAATTCCGCCCACCAGAATACACACTGACAGATCTTCAAGCAGAGGCGCACCGTGGCGTAGACCAACCGGCTCGAGGCAGCGAGTGCGTCGAACAGAGACACTTCCCCCAGACCGTCACTCCATGTTGCATTGTGGTTTGGGACGACCACCACGATGCAGCCAAGCCTACCCAGCAGAAACTTTGCCGCCAGCTCCGCGTGCGCGCAGTCATGGCTGAGTGTCAAGACGAAGAAAGACGCTGGGGCTTGGGCGCGTGGGCAGCTAAGGGAAGGTAGAGGAAGAAGAAGACAGAATAGAACAGCTTGTTCGACGAACGGGTGTTGTGTCTGTCTCGCTCATTACAATATATATATATATATATATATATATATATATATATATATATATATACGCATTCACTATCATTGAAAAACACACTCATGATAATATGTCCCAAAAATATGTGCTGCCTCATGCATACATCCTTGAACAATAAGGCCTCAGAATATGCAAATGTATCTTTAGCTATGGAATGACACGCCATAAGAATATTCTGGCATTAATCAATGCAACATATTGTGCAAAAGGTTTCAAATCGCATCCTTCATATATCTTGAATTAAACTGTATTTAGTCTTCGCATTACATGCAGTACCATGGTTAAATATTTTTGTCGTTTCTTGAGCATGAGGCGATGTCATTTCATTTCTATATAGCTTCTATAACCATCCCTAGTGCAATTGTACCTTTCTTCACAATGCGTCGTTTAAGTCTTCTACTCATGTGGCATTGCAAATTCAGGCATAATAAAACATTCTTCCCTTTATATGAATGTGAAGTATCACTTTGTGAACTAATGTTGGATCTGTCGAACAGTATTTTTTGCTGCTGCGTCTCTGCATTGCTCAAGTTGAAAGCCTCATGATATAGCCCATGAATGTTCCTACATTAAATAAACATGAAGAGTTTTTTCTATATTCTCGTGACTAGGCTCCAGCTTTTGTACATAGATTATTTACTTTGAGAATTATCATATGATTTGTATGAGCGGCCTTACTATAAAAACAGGAAGGAGAAGACGGAAGGTGGGAATGGAAAAAGTTCGTAAACAGAGGCTCTGTGATGAAGCCAGCGTTTCGACTAGTTGACTTGCCTTGCTGGGTTCTAGACTTGAAGAGAAGTTCTCTTTTCGAAACGTTGGCTTTTTCGATCGAGTTTTCGAACGACATCACTATGTAACTTAAGGAGATGTTCTTACTGTTGCGTTTCCTCAAGTAACCGAAAGCAAATTCCAATCAATAAATAAAATAAATAAATTGAAAAGTGGTTGCGTAAAGTACTCGTTCGGTGTATACAGTTTTATGCTTGCAGATTGGTGCTGAACGAATTCAATAATATGAAGGGGAGAGCCTTATATGGGGGATGAGCTGACAGATACGGCGTCTGGCCTTCATCGTCACGGCACACTTAGTCACGTGATGGTGGTGCTGTAGGTGCCATGAGAGCTTTTCCTACAGGTGGTGTCACTGGCATGTGCATATACAAACAGGGGCAATGTGTAAGCAGACAAGTACCAGTTGTGCAAAGCCCGATGAGTTCTACAAAGTGGGCCTAAGTAGGACACTGTTGTATGGCGATGATCTGTCATCGGCCACTAACGTCGGCCGTAAACTGTGGGATCCCGCTGTAGAAAGCGAACGCCACGCTCTTGGAGTGAACGGACGCAGTTGGTATGGTCAGCACTAACCAAACAATACATAATAATTTAGCTGCTACGGATCGACGATATCGCCAGCCAAATCGCTATACCATCGATCGTGATCAACACGCTAAGACAACCTTACACAATATTAAACAACACTCCACAACATGAGAAACAAGGTGGTGTTGCTAATGCCTGACTCATAACAAGGGCCCCCGGCAGACGGCCAGCGGTGACGTGCACCGGTGTCCCACCACTAGAGACAACCGTTCACGCCTACTACCACGCGCAAAAGAGACTCGCTGAATTCTCTCGTGGCACCACCAAGACCTGCTACTAGGTGTCACCGCCGGCGTTCTTAAACCAACAACAACGTTCTTAAAGCAACAACAAGAACAAGAACAAAAAACTACTTGTGAACAAAAAAAACCCAACGTTCTGACAGGTTCAAACACGTCACAACCACCAATCTCCTCGCTCTCTACAAAGCACACCGCTGACGCTAGCTATGGAAGTCCCCCCTAGGCCTACTCTACCCCGGCTCGAACAAAAGCCTGTACCGAACCGCGAACTGTCGCCAGATACTTTAAGAGCTCCACGTGGGGCAGCCAGTGTGGGATCTCACTGTGGAGAACGAGCGCCACGCTCTTGAAGTGAACAGATGCAATTGACACGGTCGGCACAAGCAAATAATACATATTTATATAACTGCTTTGGATCGACAATATTGCCAGCTGAATTGAAATTAACATCAGCCGTCATGAACACGGTAAGAAAATTTTACACAATATAAACACTCAACAACATGACAAACGGTGTTGCTAACGCCTGACTCACCACAAGGGCCCCCGGCAGACGGCCCGCGGTGCCGTGCACCGGGGTTTCACTGGGAGAGACAACCGTTCACGCCAACTACCACGCGCAAAAAAGACTCGCACAGTTCTCTTGTGCCACCGTTAAGGCCTGGCACTAGGGGTCACCGCTGGCGCTACCGATGTAACCATGATGATGATGATAGTGGTGAAAAACGGTCGCAAACACAATACCACCTACCACTTAATAGTTGTGACCCCAAAACACGGTTTTTGCGTGAGACACCTACGCCACTTGGCACAAACAACTTTACAGGGAGTGTCAGCACCCCCACAAGACAAAGCTAAATACGTGACGTCTCAATTTTGAAGGCATCGGCGGTAATGCTTTCGCCTGGAGGGCTTCTAAGCGATAATGGAATAGACCACGTAGAATTTTTCGCTGCCAACCATTGGCATAATTTACTTATTAATATGTAGCTCGAAATAGATAAGTAGGGTTTAACGTGCCAAAACCACCATAAGATTGTGATAGACGCCGTAGTGGAGGGTTCTGGTAATTTCGACCACCTGGGGTTCTTTAACGTGCACCCTAATCTGAACACACGGGCCTACAACATTTTCGCCTCCATCGAAAATGCAGCCGCCGCAGCCGGGATTCGATTCCGTGACCTGCGGGTCGGCAGCCGAGTACCTTATCCACTAGACCACCGTGGTGGGGATATATGTCGTGCAAGGCCCCTTGCGAAGTCGCACTTACATGAAGAACGCAAGCTATCGCAGTATATTCCCACAACTGGATATATATAGACACAACGAACCTACCATTATACCTTCATCTACAACAGTTGCAGAATTGATTTTTTTTTGCACCAAGAAACGCCGTGAGGCTCCATACTCCGTCGCGTACATATGCATGCTGCTTTTAGCGTGTGCGTGTATTGTCGTTACGGTGGTTTTGCAAATTTGTAGCATGTCATTCGGTGATATGTGCGTAATGAAAAGCTATCTACCAGCATAAGCTGTCTTTGGATTTGAAAGGCACATGTGCCAATCGACTTGAACGCGCTCTCTATAGGTGGGAAAAATTGATGAGCTCACTCAAACTCACTCTATAAATATAATTTACCTCTGGGACTCAGACCAACCAAAATTGTCGTCAACCATACTCTCTTGGACTCAAAAAGCTCATCAAAGATTACTGAATACATCTCTCACACTCACTGAGTTTCAGTTAGTCCGAATTAGTGGACTCAGGAGTCCCTTAGCGAACTATTGGCTGTCTCGACCAAGGTGTCATTGCTTTTTCACATTGGTATCTAAACGGTGCCTTACTTGCTACCTTTTGATCTCTTACGTTCAAGAAGAAGATCACTCGCTGCAATATAGTGATGTTATTGAAAGAGATGACTCACACGGATATTTTAACAAAAACATTTCGAAAAAAGCTTGTGGTGTCGGGTCACAGAATCTTCCCCCTTCCCCTCAACTGACTCCTCTGTTCAATGAACGTTGAGCTGGCATATGAATGCTGGTGCGTTGCATTATGTGTGAGTAGGTGTGAGTACGAACGCATGGCAACATAAGGCAGATAGTAATGCTTGTGTAATTAGCGCTCTCACGCACAGCCTCTCAAAACATTGACTGAGTATTTTTTCATGAAACCCACTGTATTTCTAAAAATGCCTCTTTTTTAGGGGTTGTAAAATCAAGTAATTACCCCAAGCACCTGTTTTACTTAACGACAACCAGAATATTTAATATAGTTTAGAATATCAACCATGATTGGATTATCAAAATTAGAATATCAGGTAACACGTTTGCAATAGCCCACTGCCGACCTTATTCTGATTTATTTGTGACCTATCATACGCATTATTATGTATTGTTTCATTTCAGCTTAGATTTCTTGGAAATTGTTATGTTTTGGGTGACGCAAAGAGGCTCAATGCATAGAGTCTATGTCGATTTCTTTTTCAAACATTTGCAATGCAAGCTTCCAGTTTTGACCCTTGAGAGCTCAAACACACACACACACACACACACACACACACACACACACACACACACACACACACACACACACACAATTATATATATATATATATATTAGCGTGCACTCAACTTTCTGTTAGAAATGGAGATAGAAGATTCATACTGACAGACAAGATGCCAAAGTTGCCTAGCACATAGCAACACCTGAGACAAAAAAACATAACAAGAAGCAGGGCATATGGGAGAGCCAGTGTTATTTTTGAATCAGGTGTTAGCTGAAACGCAGTATACTGACTGAAGCTTTGACGACACAGACTAATACTGTGCGTGTGCACAACAGAAAGTGAAACGTCTGCCCATTGCAGGGTCCACCTGGTCCGTTGGGACTGCAGGGTCCGCCCGGACCACAAGGGCCGCAAGGACTACAGGTAACAACTAATGCCCCTTTGGAATATATGTCGCACTGTTTTTCAATATTGGGTGTTCCCACTTCAGAAATTGTGGGGCGCCTTTGTGGGGATAATCGTGCTATGTTTGTCTCACGGTACTTGCGGAGAAAACTGTGCCTGTACCTATAATAGAACAATGGTTGATAATGTCAACGTTAAAGCTCTTACTCTTGGTTGTTTACTCTTTGTTCCTTATTTTGTTCATTTTGCAGTCTTATTTCGGCTCATACTCATGTTAACAATTCACGTGCCTTTTTGCAAATAGTGAATGAAAAGGACGACGTTCAGACAGACTCGTGCAGTTTGCCCTGTGTTGCGTTTGTAGCCTACGTGGCATTTGAGTAGCCTGTGTGGCATGTGTTTTATTATGTGAGAGTAAATTATTCTATTATTACAAGGACAAAGCCAACATCTCAGAAGTGGGACCGCCATTCAATCGCCATGGAGAGAAAATGCGATTTCCGTTAGTCTACGTAGCTGGTTAACGAAACTCTTACCCTGAGATGCAACGCACTGATGGAAGAGACAACCCAACTTGTGGTGGAGGAGGGACAGACTTTGGCAATGTAGACAACATTACGGCTCGCGACTTACTCAAAGCTATCTTATAAAAGGACCGTCTACTATTGACCCTGCTGGAACGACTGACTGTGCCAGCGCAACCTCAACCAGTGCCAACAATTCAGATAATTTCTAACTGAGTCACAATATCACTGCGTTCGATGGCTTCGAAGACGGTTTTGCAGCGCGTGGACAGAGAGCATTCGGCGAACGTCAAATATACACTGGTGGCCAGCTGCATACAAGCTCGAGACAGCTAAGGCTTGATTGGTAGGAGCAGCCAAGGACTGGTACCGTTCAAGGAGTTCCAAGATCACGTCATGGGAGGAGTTCGAGACACGTTCCTGTCGGACCTTCGTCAGCCAGACTCGCGTTGCAGAACGGCAGCGCAAGATGCTAGAGCGTGTGTAGCCGCGTAATGAGAGGACGGCCGCCTACTTTCACTCTAAGGTGCGTTTTTGCCACGAACTCAACCTGGACTTTAACGATACGCGAGAGCGAGTTCTATGAGGGCTGAGGTCGCACGAATTCTGCATCATGCTCTTGGGTCGAACGCATCAAGGTGACGACGACCTGCTGCACGACATCTTGGAGCTCGAACGCATCAAACTGGAACGACAACAGGTTTTCGGCACACGCAACCAAAGCCTAAAACCACCTTCAGATTCAGAACGCTGCCTGCCCGCTACCACGGGAAGAAAATTGACGACCGACGTGAACCAAGGAGCGGAACAACGCCAAGAACTGCCGCCCGTCGACCGACACGCCACTACGGAGACCATAGTCTATGTGACAGGCTGTCGTCGGCTCTCAACAGGAAGCGCCCCGGCGGAGGAAGACGATGCCCCGAGTGCACAAGATATGGAAGTCGTGCTTGATGCAATCCCCCAGGGACATGTGATTCCGTTTTTCGAGCAAGCCCTGCCACATGTAGAGAATTTCGAAGACATCGAAGCACCGAAAACGAAGGTAAGCGAAGAACCCAAGGCGAATAAACTGCAGTAAAAGCAGGAATTCCGAAGACAAAGACACAGCTGAAGCTGAAAGCCAAAAAAAAAGCAGACGAACTCCCAGCCTGGTGCTGCCAGAAGAGACAGCGAGGTGGAGAGAATGAAGAAATCCATGTTGTTGTTGAAATCGTTAGGTAACTATAAAAGCTGGTTATTCGAAACATATTCGGCTGATTAACGAGTGCTTGCACGCACATTGTATGTACACTTTTACGTATATTTAGTATATTTTGCTGAATAAAAATTACAACACAGCCACCTTCCATCCGCATGCTTCGCATATGGCAATGATTTCCAAGATAATTATATATGCCGAATAAATAATTTTTAGCTTAGTGATAGAGGTTGCTTCTACGTTCCTTCCAGGTCATTCCTAGGCTTTCGCTAGGTGAGACTAGGTTCTTTCTGCATCGACTCTCAGCGCACTGAGGTCAGAGTTAGAGGCATAGAGGTTCGAGCTTGGCCGCCATTTGTTGGAATAACTCTTGCCTTTCTCATATTTGATGCAACAGTAGTGAATGGTGATACCTACCAAATGTCTGTGGTGCCTAAATAATGGTTTATTATGATGATGGCTTTTTGGTACATGGCTAAGTAAGGAACAGCGTTCTAAAGGACCTCATTGTCAAAAAGCCCTCGCTTGGCTTTGTCATAGAGCACCTGCTTGCCACGCAAAAGCCCTAGGCGTAAGTCCGCCTCGGACCGTTTTCTTTCTACAATGCGTGATAGATATAGAGAACACTGGCCTACTACGCGATCAAACTAAGCTGTTATGAGTTCATAACAGCTTGCGCTCTAATACAGAGCATAGGGAGCTGCAGCGACGCTGGGCTGTTTTACAACTTCTAAGAAGCGAGTTCGAATAATTATGAGCCAACTTGCACAGAGCTTTTAATGTAGCGCTTTGCGATACAGAGGGGTATTAGTACCTTAAAAAGCAATTGCAGAGGCATTGTAAATTCCAAACTAAGACAATTGGGCTCCAGTGGTGCCAAGTCTAAAAGAAGTTCAGGGCTTGGTAGACTTTTTTCCTGGTTTTCTGTTTTTTCCTTTCATCTTTTCTCTGTTCTCGTTTCCAGATAAATTTTTTACTCTTCTTTTTTGTTTATTTATATTTTGTTTTTCCATTTGTTCTCGTTCTTTTATCACCATTTTTCGCTTGATTACTCTTTCATTTTCCTACGTGGTTTGTTTTGCCTGGTTTCAATAACCGAAGTAGTAATGACCGGATAATATATTATCATCGAGGCGCTCGATGAGCGAAACTAAGAGGACTTCTTTTTGGCGCAACCGCGCTAAATCTAGTATGATCAGCTATGCTATAAATAGTTTTGCCTGCATCAATTTTATCGTCAAGAGACTCGAAAAAGAATTACACCATCTCCCACTAAAGGGAACCATGTTAGAGGCGAAGCAGAGAGAACTAACACTTACACTTGGGGTGACGTTGGCGCTGGTGCTCATCGAGGCTTTGCGCAGGAGAGACACCTGGGGAGGCGCAAAGCACGCAGTGATGAACCAGTTTTAGGAGCGGAGTTTCTTAGGGAGCGGCTTGTGCGTCCCTCGTTGTAGTGCGTAACCACTGGTGGCACATAGACGAAAGAGTGGTCCTTAGAATGTCAGCGGGATGGCGGTACTTATATATGATGAATACATGATGAAAAGATATGATATGGTGGTACTTGAAGTGTCCATTAGATAGACAGACGGATAAAAGGATCGACACAAAGATGAACGAACGGACTGGCGGATGCACGAATGGACAGACATACAGAAGTGCGGACGAAAGGACGGATGAACAGGTGGACAGATAGACGGCCGTACGAACTGACGCACGAACAGACAGACAGACGAACGAGCGAAATGACGTATGGACGGACGCATGGACGGACACATGAATGGACACATGGATGGACGTATGCACCGACGGACACTCAGATGGAGGGACACACGGACGGACACACGAACGAACGCGAGCAAGAACGAATGGACGGACGGAAGCACAGACGCACAAACGAAAACTTCGCCCCACTAATCACCATTCACTCCGTCGATATGCTGTGATTTTTTTCCTACTATAGCTTGTTAATTGCTGCTAGTGTGCAATGAGAGACGGACGACTCCAATCGTACTCAGACACCCGCAGTCTCCTTTTAGTTAACGACTTTGCAAATTTTTGTTCTTCAACAGCACACAAAAAAAATGTTCCACCGAAACTACCTTGAAGGTCAAGAGAGAGAGAGAAAAAAAAGGGAAGGCCGGGAGATCAGCCAGATATTGGCATCCGGTTTGCTACCCAACACAGGGGGTGTTGAATAGGGGCAAAAAAGAGGGCGTAGAGAAAGATGAAAACAAAAATGCACATGCACTCATGAGAAAACAAAAACGCACACAAGAAGGGCGTTCTGGCTACGACCGTTCAGATCCCGTGCATATATATGCAGTATAGTTTTGCAGCGCAAGCAGTCATTTTTTATCATTCAAAGAACTTTCAGCAGATGCTGTTTGCGTCGGTGTTGCGAGGCAAGAGAGTAGAGAAGCGTGGTAGAGAGGAGAGGGGGGAGAGGCCATACATGCGCAGTGGGGTGTAGACGCCGAAGGGAGAGATGCCTAGAGGAGTGAAAGAAAGGGGAGCTAGCGTAAATTAGCAGACGTTCCCTGCGTCGGCGTTGCGTGGTGAGAGAGGAGGCATGGGAGAGGAGAGAAGGGGAGTGAACGCGCATGCGCAGTAAGGGTGGTCACACAGCACACCAGCTTGAGCTTGACCCTAAGCTGCTTCGAATCTAAAAAAAAGGAATAAAAAACTTCTTGGCGAGAGGAAGCACTTAATGTGAGGAAGCACAGCCGGCTTATGCTACCTGTGAATCTTCCAGCGTTACACCAAGCAACGACAACAGCATACGACAGCCTGCCCCCTTACATTGCTCCACACTTGAAAATTGGGGATTAGAGGTAGTTCTTGCGGTCACTTAACTCGGTACGATGGCTTCAATATATACGCTGATATACCATGAACAAGCGTGAGAGAAGTTGATGCTTCGTGAGGGGTCAGTTTTTAACAACTTTGTACGGCAAACTGAAATGTTCATCTTCAATTCACAACTGCTATTATTCTTGGTCCCACATCTAACAGTTATACATATCCACGTAAACACCGAGTTCTCGGCGTACGCCTTTCACAGTGGGAGTGATGCACATGGACCTGGCCAACAAGGGCAGCCTTTCATTAGTGGCCAGGTGCTTTTCTTCTTACTACAAAAGTATGGACCGCAGTCACCAAAATATTTTCACCTGTTTTAGGGCCTTCCCGGTCAACAGGGTCCGCCGGGACAGCCCGGAATAGACGGTTTGCCAGGAATACCTGGACCTAGAGGCTTACCAGGCCCCCCTGGGCAGCCAGGGCCTTCGGCACCAAGAATATTTGAGGTAAGGTTCATTCATCTCACCTCCCGGTAACACAATTTTCTATGCGTTATGTCATATAGTAAATTATGTATTTTGGGAAGAAACTTGTGCTAAAGTAAGTACAAAAGTAGTGAGAAAAACAATGGGAAATGTAATATGCACAATTATTATTAACGAGGTCTAATTCTAGTATCGCATGAACCCATTCGAAGTTTAAGGTCCGAATAAGAGACGGACGAAGATAACATACACACATGGAACGCCCTTTCTAACAAAGACTTATTTTGAAAACAGCACAGAACATGTTTTATACACCACGGGCACCGTCATCCTGCCATAAAGCACAGTCGCATGCAAGTAGCGTAACTCTTTTGTCGATAATGAAATGGAGGTTACGCTGATGCACATATTACCTCATTCCATTAATTTATTGGCTTCAATGACTAGTCTTATTGATCTACCGGGGCTTTGTGTAACTACCACGCAGGCGCTGAAGTTAAAAACACAATGACAATCTCTGTAGAATATCGTGAGGTGGCCCTCTCGGCAATTTCTGACGTTGTTATTATGCTGTTTTAGCCAGTCACTCAGACATTTCTCGGTCTGGCCTACGTAACTTCTACCACACGACAAGACGATCTCGTAGACCACACCCAACTGACACCTTACATACTTAGTTTTGGTACTCACAACGCAGGTCGGAGCTTTCCTGAGAAAAGAGGTAGTGATCTCGCAGAGCCTGATAAGAGTTAACGGGGCAGAGAAGACCACCTTTACATCAATGTGTTCAGAAATCCTTTTGTAATTATGGGATACGCGGTGTACATAAGGAATGACAGCCAGCTTAGGAACATTCTGGGCTGGTTGTTCATTACCGTAGCAGTTCCACAACTTCTTCAACAACTTCTTTGCCACAGACACCAGAATGGGCTGTGGGTAGCCTGCCTCGTCAAGGCGGTGTACCGGCTTGAGGAATCTATTTGCTGCTCTATGTTGACAGCATTTCTTAAAAGCATTCAGCAGGCACATGTTGGAGATGCTACGTTTGACAAGCTTAGAATGGGTAAAAGGTCCCCACTGCCAAAATGTTTGATCTGCTGCTAAAAACAATGTTACATCTAAAAGCCTAACAGTCGAACATGGGGACACAGTAAGCAGGAATATTGAAAAAATTATTTTTGCATTACTTGTAATATGCAGCTTTTTGTGAACCAGAATCAGACGTTTGTTTGTCTCAGTGCGTTCTTTTTCTCTAAAAATGACATAATTCAAAACTTTTGCCACAGTCTGCCATGCCCTCATTTTTACGCAGCAAGAGATTCCATGCAGGTCACGCCTGATAGCCACAGGGAGAAGTTGTAGTTTGCAAGCTGGATGTATTTGGCGCATTCAGAAAAGATTGGGCCCAGAACTGCCGTAACGAAAGAAAGCAGAATCGTCAAGCTATTTGCCATGAAATCTGTATCTAGTCGGGGATATCTTAGTGGTGTCATCACTGGCAAACACCAAAACTATTATCGGTGGGCCATTGAAAGAAATAGAGCCAGCTTGAAGGGCCTGCAAAAAGCTGTCCGGCCCACATAATTTCACATGGCACAAAAGAATACCAATAAATCTCATGGTCTTGGCTTCAAGTACGCCAAAAATTTGGGCAAATTCAACAAAGTCCATTTGAAAGATGAATCATGTTTTTACAAATAACACCTTCCAGCGTGTGCTGTTGAGGCTGTTCGGCCAAATTATCTAATACTAGTTCATCTAGAATTACTTGCCAAATGCCTCCATGTGAAAAATCAAAACCATAACGAGGTTTTGGATGATCATGTGGAAGCGCTCTCGCTCTCAAAAAATAAATGTTTTGCTCCAGCACTAAACACCGTAATTACGCACTCTTGATGCTGTGTTCATATTCATTGATGGCAATATAGCCCGTGAGACTGTGCTAAACAGTTTTGAAATCTCGACAGAGGACTACACAGTGCAGGGCCCACGCACCCTTGAACAGCGTCGATAGCACTATGGAAACACGGCTGCATATCAGACGACAAATGAGCCTGCCAAGCAAGATGTTTCAGCACAAAAAGCAAAAGAAAGCATATTAGTGATGAGTGTCTGGCTGGTGCCTATTCACCGGGTCCTTCAAGTTGTTTTTATCTCGTTGCACTTTTGAAATAATGCACATTTTCAACTTTAAATGCCATTGTGTCAAAACATCCCTTTTTGTACTGACATTCCTTTTTTCGGCAACCAAAGTATCGAGAATCATAAGTTTCGACCAGTGTTTTGACCAGGGTGTATACAGAAGTGCAATAATTGTTGTGTTAAAAAGTGCTCTTCTGCAATAGAATATTTATAGCTGTTATCGAAGTATAGTTATGCATGGAAACAAAAACAAACATTACTAGAAACTAATTATGGTCCCTCTAGCAAGAAGATGCAGGTAAAATGTACCACTGCAAGTACAACTAGGCTATCTTGTTTTCTCATAAAGGAACATGCCCTGTTCAGCCCAATTACAATTACAGTATGCAATGATACAGCAGTCTAATCTGACGCTTTACACACTTTGAGGCAGTGCACAAGTCATTCTTGCTTACTGTTTTCTTGAGAATGTGATGTTTTAAGAAAAATGTTCAGGTCTTTAATACAGACAATAACTATATTATAACCTGCTATAGGGTGTTCATGTCCTTTGAGTGTGCAAAGTTTTTTTGAAACAAAATAAGTTATATCATGGTGCCTGCACATATTTTAATTATTGCTAAGAATCACCCAGAAAGTGAGTTTTCAAGGAGTACTTTTGGTTCATATTGTTGCTTAAGTTTTAACAGCACAAACAACTTTCTAAAAGATCTGATAAGCAAAAATTGAAGTAGCATGAAGGTATGAGAATCCCCACGTTCCTATACCAACAATATCGAATTCATTATTGTTATCGTGAATATGCTGCTACATCCAGTACATGTTTACACTTCATAGTTTACAGCACACAATAACTTAATAAATCACGCCTGAAGCTTCATGCTGTGACAAAATTGGGTCATAGGACTACAATTAGGCTTTATGTACAAGACTTTTCAATGACATCTGCGGTGATTTATCTTCTAATTTAACAAACTACAGCTGGCTCCTCATGATGCAAACGATATTGGTCATAAAATAGAAACCAAGGACTGCTTAAAATTTTTTTGGTCATTTTATGTTGTTCAAATACGCCCTAAAGCAACTAACCGTGCCTGACACTTCATTATGTGACAGATATTGCACATAGGACTGCAACGGACTCCTTTATGGAAGTCTTTGGACATTGCCTGCAGTCAAAATATTCTCTAAAGCTATAAACCACACCCAACACTTCATGAAGTCACAGATATCGGTCAAAAGATTTCAACTGAATCTGGTATAGAAGGTTTTTGAACACTGTCTGAAGTCAAAATATTCTCTAATGCAACAAACCATGCCCAAACCTTCATATTGCAACAAATATTGGTTATTAGACTGGAACCAAGCACTGCGTGGAATGCTTTTGGACGTTTTCTTCATTTATTTTCAAATACTACAGCCCAATGCAGGGCTACTGCAGGAGTGGTGTCCATAAATACAAAACTAAATCATTCAAACAGTAATATCTAGAAGGGTGCGCCAGCAGGAAGAAATATCACTAGGTCGTAAGTACAGGTAAAAAAATGAGTGAAATAGAATATTGTTGTTATACAAGTGGCTCTGATATTTAAGACACTCTGGTTTCAAAAACAGAACGAGATAGATCAATTCAGTATTTAATAACTTGAGCAAGAGAAACAAAAAAAACTATTCGAACAAGTTAGTGAACACAAAAATTACTCTAAGTTCGATTGTAATTGCAGATGGGCACTGTGTTGAAGGCTTTTCTCACTTTGTGGGAAGTGTACATATTATTTATTATTTATAAAATGCATCTTAAACATCTTGATGCAGCAAATATTTGTTTTGAGATTGCAGCCAAGCACTGCGTAGAAGGCTTTCACATGTCATAAGTAGTCAAAATACCCCAGAGCATAATGAAGCGATCTGGAAAGTTTATGATGCAACAGATATCAATCATAGGATTACACCATAGCTCTGTATAAAATTGGACAGTTTTGTGGCATATATAAACTGAATATCCTAATATTTAAATTATGCCTAAGTGCATGCATAGTCTAAGTTAAGGGATATAAAAAAAACTAAACAGGAATGAAATAGTTCTCGCAAGTAGATACAAAGATGTAGTGTTCGAAACCATGCCATAGTTTATTCGGCTGTAATCAGTCTAGAGGAACGGATAAATGCATGCACATTTATGAATGGTGTCAAATGTTTCTGTGGTTGCAGATGAGGAACTGTTTGCATTTATTCTAAACAAATCGCAGTACAGTAGTAGTGTGTACTATCATTCAATCTGTACATACACGTGGTGACATGACCTTCTGGTCTTACCATCGTGTCTTCGTGGAGCAGATTTCAAATCAGGTGCTTCTCACTTACAAGGTTTTTAGCTGATTATCTGTCCAGCTGCAAACAAAATGAATGTTATTTCAAATTAAACTCTAAAACGATGGAGCTGCGCCATTGATTGTTTGTTAGCTATGAATAATTGGACTAGAAAGATTGATTGTTAACAGGCTGCCGAACAAAGTATGTGCTATGGAGCATGGCAAAGAAGCAGACCAAAAATCAAGAAGTGAAATAGCTGACAAAAGATGTAATATCTTTTTCTATCACTACAGTGACACACATTCTAGTTTTTATTTTATACATGTATAGAAATGAGACCACTGACAGATGAATGTGTCAACGTCGCTGGTACCCGCCACGAAATCACCGCAGGCTGCTGGTACCAACCAGCGCACGCGCTTGTTGTTGGCTTATCACACAAACAATTTGCACTGAAGTCAACGAATGTTTCAGAGTGAGAAAATTCGCAAAGACATTTACGTATGTTCTCACACCACCCAAGTGTGTTGGCAAGTGCAACATTCATTGTTGGTGATGATGATTAC